ACCATAATTTCATTCTTTCTATTTTAGGAGTTGAGGGATCGAGACAGTCGATGCGGGTGTCTGTAATACGAGTTCATTCCACTAAATGCATGGCTCAATCATTTACCTTCCTATATAGATTATTAGATGCAATGTGCGATTCTTCAAGAATTACATGAGTTGAATCCCCAGAAGTGGATATTCCTGCTAGAGTGCAGGTAAAGTAGAAAAAGAAAAACATTCTCGTTCGGTAGTCTGGGGAAAGTTATAGGTTAATCGAAAACCAAGAAATCTTCTCTGGAAGAAAAAGTCTCTTGAATCCAGCTAAGTCCAGTCTCTTAAAAAATACTCGGATTCAATCGGATTTTTGCTTGAATCAAAAGGAAATCCGCTTAAATGAAGAGGCTTGGCTCTCGATATAAGCAAAAATTCAATTGAAGCAGAAGTCTTTTTTCTTGTCAACTTTATCGATCCAAGAGAATCTTTTCTCAATGTTGGAGGTCCTGTTCGCGGTCCTGTCTTCCATTACGACGATTTCACGGAGACTACATCAATAAGGCACAGGATGAAACAGCTGCTGTTCGCTCCTCAAAGGGTTGCAGTTGGCGACAGGAGCTCTGGGAGCACCCTGTCGCTGAGTCACTTAATTTCTTAAGAGGGAGAATTGGGTGGGGGCGGGGGCAGGGACAGGTGCGTGCCGTGTCCCGTGCAGATGAAGATGGGGCGCGCGCCGCCTCGCGAAACGGGCCCAACGCTGAATTGTGTGACCCAGGTCAAGTTCGCCGGGGCATCTTTGCACCGACACCACCGACAGGTGGCCCGAGATCCCCTCCGCCATTGCAAGATCTCGCCCATCTCCCCCACATCGGGAGTCTTCTAATTATTACTCACGGGTTCTTGTGGAGAGTGGAATGTCGAAAATCTCAGGGTGAAATCTGAATTGCAATCCGGAATGCATTTCACTCCGAATAACCGGAATGATATGAGTGCGATGCAATTCGGAACTACAACATCTGGCTCAGTTTAGAAACAACGTATGTATTATTAGTCTCGCTATGCACGTAAGTGTATTTACGGATGAGGCAGATATGATTGTAGAAATGATAGCAACATGCAGTCCAACGAGAATCGTGATATTTGCAAACAAAACTTATCAAACTCGAAGATGTTTGCAGCAAGTCGGGGGAATTTGGTGTTTGAATGTGGTAGACAAAGCGATAGACAAAGCAACGGGAATATTGAGCGATCTCATTTGCTGATACGGGTGGTAGTTGAAGCCTGAAGGGGGCTAACTATAAGATCTCTCGTGAAATGTATTTTGTTAGTCTATGAATTACCTTTGTCCATTACTACCTTACGCTTTCACCAATATAGTAGCTTTTTAATATCTGTCTCCTCTTTGTCCATATATATCTTTTTATATCAGTATCAATGATCAAGCCACTTTTACTGCAATGACACAAAAATAGGAGACGAAAACTGAAACATAAAGTTGTTCAAACGGCTTCAAAGGTTCAAATCGTCAACGATTTCTTAGAAACACTTCTTATTCCAGCAATGGTGTCCCATTTTTAGCGTATTTTGTGCCATGTGTTTCGGGCCATTGTCGAGTTTTCATTATCTAACCCATTCAGAATATTTAACTCACTGCGCAGTAGTGAAGTATAATTTGGGAGAACTTATCATTCTCCTTCTCCAAATATCGAAAGAAGTAAGATCGGCAGTGGCTAAAATTGCGTTATCTGTTTCACTATATCACCGCTCGTTGTTACTTTGTTGCTTTGATTGACATTCTGCTCCTGAATGCGGTTCGTTGTGATATGAAGTTGTCGCATCGTCCAACAGTGTCAATCGCCTCGACTAATGGACGGTCAAGTGATAGGCAGAACTCATTTCGTCTTAAACGCACGAATTTTCTCTCCTATTTGGACTACATTTTGAAATTTGGAACCACAATTTCTGGCTCAGTTTAAAAAACAACGTTTGAAACGTTAGTTTTCCTTGGCAGGTTTTTTTTTTTTTTTTTTTTTTTTTTTTTTTTTTTTTTTTTTTTTT